TTGGCAAGTGCTCACTTATCATCTGGCCAGGTGACAATGGCTGCTCCATGGAGCAGACGATCCCCTGCTTGGAGCAATGCGGAGCTACTGGAGCTGATCAGTGTTTGGGGAGAGACGGCTGTGCAGGAATGTAGGCTGCCCCTCGATCACCCTCCACCCCCTTCCCACAAGGCCCATTGGCAAAATGGAGAGAGCTGCACTGTGGGAAAGCTGCCCTCAGGGCACTGCTCTCATCAGCGATGGAAGTGCTGCAGATTAAACACTCTCTGATGCCTGTGGAAGCGAGTACACAAACCAGCGCTTTTCTTTCACCGATTCACTATCACCTGTTGAAACTGACGGCGCAAAAACTCTGCAAGTGTAGGCATAGCCTAAGTGTCAGCTTCATCCTGAATTTCCCAGCTTTCCTCTGTTTCAATCAACCTCTTGAGTGTGATGTTGGCTGAGTTAATTTACATTTAAATACAAACTATCTGGGTCCCAGGGTGAATGCAAAATCAGCTTTTACAGTTACACCACAACAGCCTTCGCTCACATTGTCACCTGGGATCTTGTGGAGCTGCTAGGACAGAAGTCCACAAACTGTGGGGTGCACCCCCCCCCCCCAAGGGGGAATGGAGGAATGTTCCAGGGGGGCTGGGCCTGCCCCCGCAGGGCGGGAGTGCAATGCTGAAAAATGTGGGGACCATGGTGATAGGAGGCATACCATGGCTGCAGCTTCACAATGCTACTGTTCCACTGAAGAAGTGGGCTGTAGCCCACAAAAGCTTATGCTCTAATAAATTTGTTAGTCTCTAAGGTGCCACAAGTACTCCTGTTCTTAAAGCCATAAAAGGGGCTGATCCTGCAGGTGCTAAGTGCCTCTCCTCTCCACTGCTTGACAGGGAGCAGACCTTGAACTTAAATGGTGCATAGCCCTTGTATTGGCCCTCTGCAACAGGGGTGAATTTCCCTCTACAGTAGCTGCCATTGTGTGCCAGCATTAGCAATACAGTTGTTAGTCTCTAAGGTGCCACAAGTACTCCTGTTCTTTTAGCATTAACAGAGCAACATCTCGACCATTACCACAGGCCACAGCTTTCTCTGGCACGCAGCCTTGTCCCGTTGCAACAGATTTGTAGCTACGATGGGTTTGACTCCCTTTTTAAATGACTGGCCTTGAGCTGCAGCCAGATTCCTTCCGTTGCCCACTTTTGAAGAGCATAGCTTTTTTCCTCCCTTTCAATGCAGCGTTATCTGGCTTTTAATTCTCCTTAGTGCACGGGGTGTTCCCAGATGAAAGCAGACACTTGTTAGGCAGCTGCATAAACAGAAAAAACCAATGTTGAGAAGAAAAAAGAAACAACCTGCGGATGTGATTTTTAGGTGACCTTGGACACTCCAACAGACCCATTCTGCTGGGTTATTAATATGAGTTAGCAAGGTTCTAGCCAATGTGGAAATGCTAGCATTGGTAATGAGGGTGAACACTGGCAAGGAAAGGCAGAGAGGCAGGATGATGTGATTGCTGGGTGAGCTGGACATGCATAAGGTTTTTTTTTTAATGAGACTCCTTGCCTCAGTTTCTCCACTTGTAAAATGATGTTCACTGGGGGCATTTTGAGTCTTAACTGAGGGCAAAGGTCCAGATCCTCAAAGTTATTTAGGCTCCTAACTTCCAGTTGAGGAGCTGAGCCAAAGTGCTTCGGGCTCCATGAATGGAAGGTGCTAACTATGAACAAAGTGTTATAAATGTTGGCAATTGAGAATAGATGGTTCAATATGATCTTGCATGTACCCTCCCCCTTTCTTCCCCTTGGTGTGTAGTGAAATGTGTTATGAGCTGCCTGTCTTTTGAAGGCTGAAGCTAGATCTTTTTTCCCTACCTTGCACAGAGCTGGAAGAGTGGTTTCTAAAGATTTCAGCAGGCCGTAGGATGGGGAGGTACCCCCTTCTTCCTACAGTTGGAGTTCTATAGTGATGATGACTTCTTCGCTGCTGCCCACAAGGTGCT